ATGGCTGGGTACATGCCAGAATGGCAGTTAGGTATGGGGGTTGGAGGTCAGGACTGGCAATAACTGTTTGGAATCCATCAGAACATAGATTGTCATTTTTCAGACTTTAACACACATAAGAGAAACCTGGACTCTTATTAAAATGTGGATTCTGACTCAGGAGATCTGGGTTAGGGCTGAGATTTTGCTTTTCTTTTTTTTTTTTTAATTTTTTTTTTTTAACATTTATTCATTTTTGAGACAGAGAGAGACAGAGCATGAATGGGGGAAGGTCAGAGAGAGAGGGAGACACAGAATCTGAAACAGGCTCCAGGCTCTGAGCTGTCAGCACAGAGCCCGACGCAGGGCTCGAACTCACAGACCACGAGATCATGACCTGAGCCGAAGTCGGACGTCCAACCTACTGAGACACCCAGGCGCCCCGAGATTTTGCTTTTCTAATGAGCTCCCAAATGATGATATTGATATAGCTGATCCCTGGAACACACTTTGAGTAGTGAAGATTCAGATTAAGGTCTCAATCTTAGCAGCATATTAGAGTCACCGGAGTGTTTTATTTATTTTATTTTTTATTTTAGAGAGAGAGAGCGTGAGCGGGTTGGGGATAGAGGGAGAGGGAGAGAGAGAGAGAGAGAACGAACCCCAGACAGGCTCCATGCTGAGTGCTCAGCGTGGAGCCCGGCTCGGCTGATCTATGACCCTGGGATCATGACCTGAGCTGAAGTCAAGAGCTGGGTGCTCAACCCACTGAGCCACCCAGGCGTCCCCATTGCTGTACTTTAAAATGCTGATGCCTACCTTTAGATTCTTTGATTTATTATATCTGGTGTATGGCCTGGGCATGGGAATTTTTAAAAGCCCCCAAGATGATTCTAATATGAACAAAGTTTGAGAACCATTAAAGCTGCCTACAGGAATACAGAGAAGAGGGGAACAAGTTGAAAGACACTTCAGGGTAGCAGACAGACAAATTCAGAATGTGGGACTCTTTGCAGTCTTAGTACTCAAAGTGTGGTCCCCACACCAGCAACATCAGCATCATTTGGAAGCTTGTTGGATGTACAGGATCTTTAGCTCTACGCCAGACTTGCTGAATCCAAATCTGCGTTTTAACAAGATCCTAAGTGATTCATCTACACATTCAAGTTTGCAGACATTGTAGCTTTAAAGAAGGAAGTGGGTCATGTCAAAAAGGTGGGAGGAGGGCCTCACCCATGATGTATGTTTCTGAGAAATTGAGCAAAATGAAGCCTTAAAAATAATCATTGGCTTTCATAAGTGCAAAATGCAAAAGGGGCCTTTACAAATGGTATTAGTGGAGTGGTTGGGGCAGCAGCCAAGTTGGAGAGAGTGAGGAAGCATAATGTGTATACACCTCTTGGGAGAAACTTTACTGTAAAGGGAGCAGACATATGGAGCAGAGGCTGGAGGGAGTCTTCAGGTCAAAATGGGAGATGTTAGAGAAAGTTTAAATGGTGATAAGAATGATCCAGACATTTCCCATCTCATTTTATGAGGTCAGCATTATCCTGATACCAAATCAAACAGACACTAAAAACTACAGACCACTATCTCTTACGAATATGGATGTAAAAATCCTCAACAAAATAACAAGCAAACCAAATTTTAGCAACATATAAAAAGTATTATATACCATGATCAAGTGGAATTTATCCCATAAAAGCAAGATTAGTTTAAAATCTGAAAATCAGTTAATGAAATATACCATATTAATAAAATAAAAGATAAAAACTACATGATTATTTCAGTAGACGCAACAAAACATACTTCACAAAATCCAGTATCCTTTCTTTTTTTTTTTTTTTTAATTTTTTTTTTAATGTTTATTTATTTTTGAGACAGAGAGAGACAGAGCATGAACAGGGGAGGGTCAGAAAGAGAGGGAGACACAGAATCTGAAACAGGCTCCGGGCTCTGAGCTGTCAGCACAGAGCCCGATGCGGGGCTCGAACCCACGGACCGCGAGATCATGACCTGGGCTGAAGTCAGACGCTCAACCGACTGAGCCACCCAGGCGCCCCAATCCAGTATCCTTTCTGATAGAAGCATTCAACATCTGGGTATAGAAGGGAATTTCTTCAACCTTATGAAGGCCATGTATGAAAAACAGACAGCTCACATCATACTTAATGATAAAAGACTGGACACTTTTCCCCTGAGATCAAGAATAAGAAAAGGATGTCCACTCTTGTCACTTCCATTCAACATTGTACTGGAGGTTCCAGCAAGGGCACTTGAGAAAGGAAAAGAAGTAAAAGATACCCAGTTTGGAAAGGAAGAGATAAAACTATACTTGCTGATGATGTGATCTTGTATATAGAAAAGAATCCAATAAAAAGCTATTGGGACTAATAAGTGAGTTCAACAAGGTTGTAGGATAGATCAACATATAAAAATAGTATGCCAATATAGACATACATATAGTGCCATACTGGCACTGAATAGTGTGGAAATGAAATTAAGAAAATAATCTCATGCGTAATAGCTTCATAAAGAATGAAATATGAATAAATTTAACAAAGTAAATAAAAGACACGTACAGTGAAAACTATAAAACACTGTTGAAAGAAATTAAAGATGATCTAAATAAGTGGAGAGGTATCCCATGTTCATGGATCAGAAGACTTAATATTATTAAGATACCAGTATTCCCTAAACTGATCTGTAGACTCAATACAATTCCTATCAGAATCCCTCTGACTTTTTGCAGTCATTGACAGCTGATTCTAAAATGTATATGTAATTGCAAGGGACCCAGAATAGCCAAAACAACTTTGTAAAAAAAAAAAAAAAAAAAAAAAAAAAAAAGTACAAAGTTGAAGGACTTACACTTCCTGATTTTAAAACTTACAAACTATAATAAAACAGTGTAGTGCTGGCTTAAGACTCAATATAGATCAATAGAATTGGGAGCCCAGAATTAAACCCTTACATTTATGGTCAATTGATTTTCAGCAAGAATGCCAAGACAAAAAGTACACTTACCACGATGAGCATTGAGTAATGTATAGAATTGTAGAATCACTATATTGTACAGCTGAAATGAATATAACACTGTATGTTAACTATACTGGACTTAAAATTTTAGAACTTAATTTAAAAAAGAAAAAGAATGCCAAGACCCAGAAATACAGAAAGAATAGTCTCTTCAACAAATAGTACTAGGGCAACTGGATATCCACATGAAATGAACCCCTTTTTCACACCATACAGAAAAATTAATTCAAGGTGGATCCCAGGACTAAATGTAAGAGCTAAAACTATTAAACTCTTAGAGAAAACATGGGAGTAAATCTTCATGACCTTGGGCTAGGCAGTGGGTTTTTTTTGTTTGTTTTTTGTTTTAATTTAGTGGGGTTTTTTTTTAACGTTTATTCATTTTTGAGAGACAGAGAATGAGCAGGGAAGGGGCAGAGAGAGGGAGACACAGAATCTGAAGCAGCTCCAGGCTCTGAGCTGTCAGCACAGAGCCCAATGTGGGACTCAAACTCAAGAACTGCGAGAGTATGACCTGGGCTGAAGTCGGACGCTCAACCGACTGAACCCCCCAGGCACTCCTTAATTTAGTGGTTTTTTAGATATAACATCAAGATCACAGCTATAAAAGAAAAACATAAATTGGACATCATTGGAATAAAAACTTGTCCTGCAAACAATAACATCAAGAAAGTGAAAAGTAGTCTAATGAATGGGAGAAAGTATTTGTAAAACACAAGGGTCTAGTATTCAGAATATATAAAGAACTCTTACAACTCAATAATAAAAAGATAAGTAACCCAATTTTTTAAATGTACAAAGGATCTAAATAGACATTTCTCCAAAGAAGATACGCATCGGCCAATAAGGGCATGAGAGAATGTTCAACATCGCTTTTTAAGGAAGTGCAAATCCAACCATGAGATATCACTTCACATTCACTAGTGTGTCTGTAATCAAAAAGACAACAAGAATTGGCAGGGATGTGGAGAAATTGGAACTCTTACATATTGCTCATAAGAATGTAAAATGATGCAGCCACTTTAGAAAATCGTTTGGCGGGTGTGCCTGGCTGTCAGTTGGTAGAGCATGCACCTCTTGATGTGGGGTTGTGAGTTCAAGTCCCACATTGGGTGTGGAACCAGTTTAAAGAATTAAAATGAAAAAATAAAACAGTTTGGTAGTTCCTCAAAATGTTAGAATTAACCATATGTCTCAGCAATTTGACTTCTGTGTATCTACCCAAGAGACGTGTAAACACTTTTTCACACAAAACTTCCACCCAAGTGTTCATAGCAGCATTAGTCCTAATAGTCAAAAAGTCAAAACAACCCCAACTATCCACCAACTGAGGAATAGATAAATAAAACATGGCTATATCTGTATAATGGAATTTTTTGACAAAACAAATGAAGTCTGTTACATGCTACGACATGGTTAGCCTTAAACACATGCTAAGTGAAAGAAGTCAGCCACAAAAGAGCATGCGTCGTATTGTACAAACTACCCGGAATAGGCAAATTATAGAAACAGTAAGGTTAGTGCTTGCCTGGGGTTGAGTAATGAGGGGAAATAAGAGAGACTGCCGATTGGGTATAGGTTTTCTTTTTGGGGTGACAAGAATGGTGTAAAATTAGATTGCAGTGGTGATTGTACAACTCTGAATGTACTAAAAAAAAACCATTGAATTTTACACTTGAAAAGGCTGAACTACATGATACGTGAATAAAGCTGTTAAAAAGAAAGAGTGATCCAGTAGGGAGGCAGGCCATGGCAGGAACAGATTCCTCAAGGCAGTGAAAGGTTTAGCCCAAGAAAATCGGGACGCTTGATCGTAACAGCCATTGTAAGTCCGTGCGGTGGATGAAGAAACCAGTGGGGCTGGTGAGTTGGCCATGCAGTCTGGAACACGGCCACAGCCCAGAAGGGGTCTCCTCTCCATTAGTTGGCTGATGCTGTCTTTTCTCTGTCTCGGCCAGGTGGTTGTCTGACAAGTGGAGGCAATGAGCTGGGCCCAAGCCATCCTGCTGGCCCGGGGCCTCTCTCGGGGCTGCGGAGTCATCTGCGGGGCCACCGTCACGGGACCCCCCTTCTCTCAGGTAACCACCAGCTGAACAGTCGTCTGCTCACCCCGGCTGGCCTCTCTGCTCTGAGGGCCAGTTGACCCCGCCTTAATTCACTTTAAGAAGGGCTGGTGCCCATGCGGGTAAGGGAGTTGAATTTGGAAATAAGGATTTGTGAGCTAAGTAGATGTGGGTGGTGACTGTGGGTAACCCCTGTATCCACTTGTTGAGATTTGGGCAGAAACTTGAACTTCCATCCCTTCCCGGGGTGACCAGATGGCCCAAGCCAGTCAATGGGCATAGATGGCTACCACAGCGATGGCGGCCGCCGACCTTGTTCTGTTGTGCTTCACAAACAATGCGGTTTTGGGTTTTGTTTGTTTGTTTTTACAAATTGAGGGTTTGTGGCGACCCCGTGTCGAGCAAGCCTGTTGGTGCCGTTGTCCGGCAGCATTTGCTCACTTTGTTCTCGGTGTCCTGTTTTGGTAATTCTTGCAGTACTCCAGACTTACTCATCATTATCCTATTTGATCTGGGATCAGTGATAGCGACTTGCCGGAAGCTCAGGCGCTGGTTAGCATTTTTTAGCAATAAAGTATTTTTTATTTAAGGTACGTGCATTTTTTTCAGACTTAGTGGTATTGCACACTTTATAGGCGACGGTGTAGTGTAAACATAACTTTCGTGTGCACCGGGAAGCCAAAAAATTGATTTGGCTCCTATTATTGTGACGCTTGCTTGATTGCTGTAGTCTGGAACTAAACCATCGATATCTCCGAGCTATGCCTGTACCTCCCTTACCGAGCACTTCCTCTGGGCCAGGCCGCGTGCTATGCTTTTTGTTATGCTTTTATCTCATTGGTACTGTCTCCCCTTCTTTTGGCCATTCTAGAGGTTCCTTTCAATGTTTATTTATTTTTGAGAGAGAGGGATAGAGCATGAGCCAGGGAAGGTCAGAGAGAGAGGGAGACACAGAAACAGAAGCAGGCTCCAGGCTCTGAGCTGTCAGCCCCGAGCCCGACGCGGGGCTCGAACCCACCAACCGTGTGACCCAAGCTGAAGTCAGATGCCTAACCGACTGAGCCACCCAGGTGCCCCGCTTCCTTTCTGATTTAAAAAAAAAATTTTTTTTTAATGTGTTTATTTATTTTTGAGACAGAGAGAGACAGAGCATGAGCGGGGGAGGGGCAGAGAGCGAGGGAGAGAGAGTATCCCAAGCAGGCTCCATGCCGTCAGCGAGGAGCCTGCCACTGGGCTCGATCTCCCAAATCGTGAGATCATGACCCGAGCCGAAATCAAGAGTCAGACCCTTAACCGACTGAGCCCCTCAGGCGCCCCTCGCCATATATTTTTAAAGATGCCGTATGTATAACCATTGTAATTTAAACATTCAATTCCGTTTCAAGTCAGAAATTTGGTGGTGTTGCCATCCACACATGGGTTAGCGAACATTTTTGTACTGAGGCAGTAAGTATTTTTGGCCTTGCAAGCCACACGGTCTCTGTTAGAACTACCTGGCTCTGCCCCTGTAGCACAAACACAGCCCCAGACTAGACGTAATAAATGTGCGTGGCTGTATTCTAATCCACCTTTAGTGACGAAAGCAGGCAGTTGGCCATATTGGCCCCACAGGCTGTAGTTTGCTGTCTTACGTTGCGGAGGGATCTCCCCTGTCCCCAGTAGCCTCCATTCTTCACTCTGGGGAACAAGATCTTCTTGACCCAAGAGAAACACCATCATAACAGAAGGGGAAGCCGAGGCCTGAGCAGTAAAGCGGGATGTGGTCATAACCTAGCAGAGGACAGGCAAGCCAAGATTCCTGCCGACTCCAAGATCCGCCTTTTCTCTTTTAAGTTTTTGAAAGCTATCTTTTGAATAGACAATACGGCTAGTTACAGCGGGCAATTTGGTTCAACATTCAAAAGGTTCCGGGGCGCCTGGGTGGGTCAGTCAGTTGAGCGTCCGACTTCAGCTCAGGTCATGATCTCGCAGCCTGTGAGTTCGAGGCCCGCATCGGGCTCTGTGCTGATGGCTCAGAGCCTAGAGCCTGCTTCGGATTCTATGTCTCCCTCTCTCTCTGCCCCTCTCCCGCTCATGCTCTGTCTCTCTCTTTGTTATAAATAAATAAACATTTTTTAAAAAATGTTTTTAAAAAAATGTTTTTTTAAAAAAAGGTTTTTTTAATGAAAAAAAAAAGTTCTAAGGCTACACCATGACCCCACTTAGCTCCCCTCTCTCACGAGGCAAGAGATGTTCCCCACTTCACGCATTCCCTTCCAGATATATTTCACAGGAGCAAAAAAATTATATACATACAGTTGATTCTCATTATCCACCGGGGTTATGTTTGACAAAGTGGCTGCATACACTGAACTAGTACATACTGAACTGTCGCCTCCAGGGAAATGTGGGGTCGGTTCTTGCGAGCCTCTGCTCACAGTTTCATCAGCGAGTCAGTATCTTGTTGGATGTGCGTTTCTGTTTAAAGACATCTTATTTAATATATATTGTTGGCTCATTAACGTTGAACTCACCGCCGACAGAACTATAACTCAAGCCTGAAGGTAGCTTATCTACCACACGGTATTTTCTCTGTAAGGAACAGCAGAGCCTTCTTGCCTGTAGGAAACGCTGGACGGCCCGTCAGTACTATGCGTGGGGGCCATTTTCAACCGCAACAGCACCGACCAGAAGATGTGGAAAGTGTGCACTAAGTAAATCTCTAACAGGACGCTTGTCGAGAATACAAGGGCTGAATCCAGAAGGCTGAGCGTCACCTTATTCCATCTCAGCTGGGAATGAACGGGCTTGGGTGACTCAGATTTCTCACTGCACAGCCTGTGTCTGTGAATGACCAGGAAAGTGCTCAGAGTATCGGCGTTGGGATTGCAAATCAATGTAGCAAGCAGGCAAATTTCCAAATACGGAATCCACAACTAAGGAAGATCCCTTGTGTGTCAGTGGGTGAGGCTTCTTTATACCTGTGGGACCCTACTGAACGCACCAGTTCACACATTGCTTGCTTTGCTTTCATAATATATACCCTGGGGCTCGTTCTGGGTCACACAAGACCCTCCTCAGTGTGTCTGACAGACGCAGGCGCCCCTCGTCCAGGTTCACGGCCATTTGCTTAACCATTTCCTTGCTGATGCGCGGCGGGGCCGCTTTCCCCTGCTACGGTGGACAGACAAAAGTCATTGGGCACAGGTTGGTGGGTAGCTGTAGGATTTAAAAACCAGACGCAGGATCGCTGTATCCGAGGGTGTGTGTTTGTTATCCTGGCGAATATTGCCGAGCTGCCTCCGTGGGGGTTTTACCATTGTTTTCTCACACTTCGTAATGGTGCCTGATCTTGGACTTGTTACCACAGCACCACACAGGCCTCCGAGGCCCTGAGGGATGCCTGCTGGCACCTTTCCCAGGAAAGAGCCGGCCCGGCAGTCCCCCAGGGGCCCTGGGAGGGGCCAGATTCCAGCGGCGGTTTCTCTGTCCCCAGGTGTCCCTCCAGGCCCCGCGGGGTCTCCACTGCAGCGCAGCCACCCACAGCTCTGACTCCTGGCTGGTCCCTCCCCCACCTAAGCCCCCAAGGGGACCCACCAGGGCCCTGGCACCCCACGAGGAGCTGTTTAGGCGGGCACCAGATGGGGCACAGGACAAGGCGAACTTTGTGCGGGCCGTGCAGACCTTCGGGCAGCATAACGTGCACAAGCGGGGCCACGTCGACTTCATCTACCTGGCCCTGCGCAAGATGCGGGAGTACGGCGTCGAGCGGGACCTGGCCGTCTACAACCTGCTGCTCGACGTCTTTCCCAAGGAGGTCTTCCGGCCTCGAAGCGTCTTCCAGAGAATCTTCATCCACTACCCACGGCAGCAGGAGTGCGGGATTGCTGTCCTGGAACAGATGGAGAACCATGGTGAGGCCAGCAGGCCCAGGGGCGGGCAGTGGGCTCTCCCCCCAGGACGTGGGCCCCTCCGTCGCTCCATGGCTCCAACTTGCCTTTCCTCGGTCTGTTTTGCTGGCTCGCGCC